TGGGGGGGGGGGGGGATACTATTAAGTTATGGTATGGTAAAAAAAATGATTAGATGAGTAGTTTCATGTCTATTCGTATTCTTTGGTTTCAGGAATGGAAAAAATATATATATTAGTTCAGTAGTTTCATGTCTATTGCCAGCTTCGTGTTATCGTATGGTAAAAAATAAAAGGGAGAGAGGCGGGGGGTCTATTTTCCAGGGGGGTTCGGTTACGGTTTGGGGATCGGTTCTAGGTGTAAGAAGCTATTTGGGGGGGGGGGGGATTCTAGGTTTATACTATTTAGTTATGGTCTGGTGAAAAAAAACTGGTTAGTCTAGTAGTTTCATGTCTATTGCCAGCTTCGTGTTATGGTATGGTAAATAAAAAGTGGTAAGTTCCGTTATTTCATGTCTATATCAGGTTTGTGTACTGGAATGGGCAAAGAAAAGTCGGTAAGTACAATTATTTCATGTCTAGGGTTCGATGGCTATTTTACGGCGCGGTGCCACCCGACGCCAACCTATATTCCGATTTAGAAGACCGGAGAGGGGGAATAGTAAAAGGAAGGCTTTTCTACGAGGGGGGATAAGGATTTTCGTCTGGACTCGCCCACCGCATCAAAAGGGCCTGCCACCCCTACAAGGTAGCCTGCAACTTCTGATCCCATGATTCATCGCTGCTGTTGCTACTGCTGCCGATGTCGCTGCTGTCAGAATTCAAGCTGAAGAAGATGTGGAAGTCTCCCAACGGAACGATCCGCAATATCCTGAAGGGAACCGTCTTCCGCGAGCCCATCGTCATCTCCAACATCCCCCGCATCGTACCCGGTGAGTGGTACGCTATGCGATGCTACTATGCTGCTGTTGGGCGCAATCCAGTGTTCATTTTACTGTCGGCGGCGGCGCTTCTTTCGACAGCGAGATGTACCTGCTGTGCTGCCGGGGGGGGGGGGCTAAAGTGCTGTTGTGCTGGTTGCGTACTTCACCCGACAGAAAGTTGTTGAGGCGGGAAAAGGTTTTCTGGGCTCCAGGGGGGTTTTCTACGTGCCTGGGGGCGGACAAACGTCCGGCTCTCTGGGGTTTGAAAAAGTAGCCAATTACAGTAGCTCTCCTTTCCTTTCTCGGTCGATTGCCAGAGGTACTGTAGCACGCGCGAGTCTTGTGTGTCGCTTTCGTAGTGATGCAACAGACGGTGTTCGGCGATTTGTATTCCTTGTGTGTGCGACGTTGTCATCGCAGATGGAAAACTTGAAGAAAGGGCAAGACGAGTTATTTAGTCTCCCCGCTGGCTACTGATATGTGTGTGTCTTTGTTATTTGCATCGACCGCGCTAACCGACTGCCGGCCAACGAAAATATGCGCGTGTGGGGCGTTCGTTTGCATGCGTCCGTCCGATCGTTCAGGGTGGACCAAGCCCATCGTCGTGGGCAGGCACGCCTTCGGTGACCAGTACAAGGCCACCGACTTCATGGCCAACGGCCCGGGGAAGTTCGAGATGTCCTTCAAGCCGGCGGACGGGGGGGAGACGCAATCGTGGGAGGTAAGGACACGGGGGGAGGGGGGGTTGTGACAAGTATGAATGCGGCACCACGGGTAGGAGAAGACTGTGATGATGTCTGGAATTCGGGTCTTGGAGGGTACAGCAGTAGTGCGTACATGCCACGGTTTGGGTGGGACAGGAAGGAGGGAATAGTCTCGTGAGCCGTGGCGAGGGTTTACGTTTGCAAGACAAGCACGAGAGGGATCGTCCGAGGGGGGGGAAGAAATGTCGACCACGCCGCCCTAGTCTTGTGCCCTTAACCTTGACCTTCTTGTGTGTTGCATGTCGCTTGCATCATGCGTGCGTGCTTGTTGTGTGGGATGTTTTTGATTGGCAGGAGGGGTCAAAGGAATGTCGACCACGCTGCCCTAGTCTTGTGCCCTTAAACCTTGACCGTCTTGTGTGTTGCATGTCGCTTGCAATGTGTGCGTGCTTGTTGTGTCGGATGTTTTTGATGGTCAGGTGTACGACTTCGAGGGAGCCGGTGTTGGAATGGCGATGTACAACACGGATGAGGTACGCATGCCAATCAACAAGGAATGGTATTCTATCACCGTCCCGTGGAACCGTAAGAAGCTGTCCACGCAGACGCAGGGAACGGCCGTTCGCACGCTTTCATTCTCTGATACTTTGTCTTCTCTCTCACGTAGTTTCTCTTTGGAGGAGGATCTACGTAGATGAGTGCTCTCGTGCGATCCAAGGGGTACTGTCGTGTACCTATTTCGCTTCTGATGTTTTCATTTTTTTCCGTAGTGACGGTCACAACTCGTCCATGCTTTGCTGGGCTGTTGTTGTCGTCGTACTGGAACGAATCTACTGCTGTTGATATTGCTGCCGCATCACGATATTCATGGGAAATGTTGGTGTCGCAAGGGTTTCATCGGCTGTCTCGACAAGCACAGCAATTGCTGAAACTCACGGCACCCACACCATGTTGATTCTGGGGGCCTGGTTCTAGCGCGAACGGAGCGGCCCGTTTCTCCCCCGCTTGGGATCATGTCAAAGCGGCCACCAACCCTTTCGCAAAGCAGTCTGAGGGGTGGTCGAGGACCGTGGCGCTGACAAAAAGCCCTACGCGTCCCAATCTAGCCAGATTTTTTCATGTCCTCCCGATGTGCTCTGTCGCCATGAACGCGATGTACTCATCAAATTTTGTGTTTTCGTTTGATGCCCACTTGTAATCGGTGGCATGCACTCGCGGTTGCAGTCGATCCGAGCATTCGCGCGGTCTTGCATGAACTACTCGCTCAGCAAGGGGTGGGATCTGTTCCTGTCCACGAAGAACACTATCCTCAAGGTACGTATTGAATGGAACGTGTCCGTGTTATTTATGAGCACGTTCATACCTTCTAGAAGCAAACTCTGTGCTCATCATAGCGTGAATAGTATCGCGAACGCCTTTCGTAGTGAATAGGGAGGCCTTCTTCCATCATGGCTGCTTGATTGAGTTTCTTGGAGGTTAGGTGACGATTCCGGCACCTCGGCGGAATAGGAATGCTTTTAAAGTAGACATTGGACGCTGCAGTTTTGTGTTTCGTAGGCGGTACGCAGCGTTCGTCTACATACTCGGTTGTGCTGTGTACAATTAGCCCATGAAGTGATTGTCGTATGCAGCGGAACTACTGCTGTTGCTCATTGTGGAGTGCGTGGGTGGTGTTGTGATCGGGCACGCGTCTACATACATGGGCCGCACAAGAATTGACAGGATTTTGGTCTGTGGTGGTGTATCTTTCGTGACTTGTCTCCAGGTGTACGACGGTCGGTTCAAGGACATCTTCCAAGAGATATACGAAGATGAGTACCAGGAGCAGTTCGAGGCGCGAGGTATCACCTACACGCACCGCCTCATCGACGACATGGTGGCACAGTCGCTCAAGTCGGCCGGTGAGCAACGTGTACTAAGTAAAAGTAAAAAGGGCTCAGCTTCGTCCCCATGTCTTTGCATGCACCCACCTTTGGAAATGTATACCCTCCCCAATCCAGATGTATGTGTATCACAATTATTTAGTTAGATTCAACGCCCTCTGATATTTATTGGGTGTGCTTTAATTCAGACCATGTGCTACATCATGCCTTCGCGGCCATGACCAAGACTGTTGACTTAACTGAGATGTTCTTTGCCGTAGCACGTTCGTACTTTCTGTTTCTTGGCTTCCGTAATGCCTTGGGTTTCACCACCACCCCGAAGTTGCGCGCCCCGCTTCGCGTATCTGCTCAAGTGTCTCGAGTGTCTTGTCATGTCCTGTCTTCATCGTCGGTTATGGTGCAGCTGTGTTGTCGCGTTGTCCAATGCAGCCTAACCTGTGTTTGTCTTGACACGGCTCAGGCGGGTTCGTGTGGGCGTGCAAGAACTACGACGGGGACGTGCAGTCGGACATCGTGGCGCAGGGGTACGGGTCTTTGGGTCTCATGACCAGCGTGCTGCTCGCACCGGATGGCAGAACTGTTGAGGTGAATGACTCGTATGACTGACTTGACTCGGTGGCTCGTGGTGTTTGCCGTGGGTTGGCCCGACTTCTTTTAGCCTGGCTCTGACACGCCCGATGACCGGCCGCTGCTGTTGCACCCCGTGGTTTGTTTGGTTCTCTCGCTTTCTCGATGTGTAGGGTTTTCGGCGAACATCTAGTAGGGCCCTCACAGAGCTTTCAATGCAGTTTTTCCTACCGTGTTTTCACAGAGAAACTGAGGAGAATGATTGCCTGGAAATCATTTAACTACCCAACGAGATGGGTGGGCGATGGCCAGATGAAGACGATACGGTGAACTCGTTTCCCCTCGCCTCTCTCTCTTCCTTCTAGCACGTGCTCTCGCTGCAAAGAAGCCAAATAGTCTGACGTGTTGGGAAGGAACACTCGGAACAGCCACCCACGCCTTGACCACCGCGTGCCGATCCATCCCGCACCGCCCATCCATCCGGTACCGTCAGTCGGAGGCCGCCCACGGGACTGTCACACGGCACTGGCGCGAGTACCAGAAGGGAAACAAGACGTCGACCAACCCGATCGCCTCCATCTTCGCGTGGACGCGTGGTCTGCAGCACCGCGCCAAGCTTGACGACAACAAGCCACTCAGGGTGAGAAGAGTCAGATCGATCTATCGATCGCGGTCTAGCAGTGACAAGAATTTTTGTTGTTTTCTAAGCCTTTGGGTGCGGGAACCACACAGAGAGTCAAGACTCACGAAACAACGCCATGTTTTGACAAGAAAGCTCGCTTGTCCATTTCAGAGATGATTTTCTTGGATGTATTATACTGCTCTAACTGTTTATTTTTGCATGAATTCTCCGAACCCCCCCCCAAGTTCCTCTTCGCTTTTTGCGCGTTTTCCGCGCGTACATGCCCGCCACTAAATTTTTTTTCGCACAATTTCCACCAGGTGTTCACCAACAACTTGGAGAAGGCCGTGATCGAGACGGTAGAGGCGGGGCACATGACGAAGGATCTGGCGATCTGCGTGCACGGGTGGAACGTCACCGAGGACCAGTACCTCATGACGGAGGCGTTTATGGATGAGATCAAGGTGGGTATTTGAGACGCTCGCACACGCCGCCGTTCCGTGCATATTTCTTAGTGTCGATGTACATGTTCACGTGTGTTCTATAGCTTTTTGCAAGTCTGGGCTAGCTAGAAGGAACGTCGGATCTGTCGTAGCGCGCGAAGTACGGTTAAGCGTTGTGCTATTGTGGTACGAGGCTGGTGTCGCGCGTGTAGTGTGTTGGTCCGGCATCAGTATCCGTTCCGACCCTTGCCGAGTGCCCGCATCGCTCCTATCATAGTTGCTAGTCTTGCAGGCTTCAAGGGATAATCCTCCGTGGTCAACGCCATCCACCAAACGTGAAGGCACGCATGAAGTAGTATTGAGACGGGGACAACGAATCCAGGTGGACAACTAGACCTGTTCAACTTCGGGAGCTGACAGATTTATTGTTGATAAGCATAGAGCGTTCACAAACACGTGGGTGCCCCCCCCCCCTCCGTTTATTTTTTTGCCCCCTTGTCTTTTGCATGTGAGAGTGCTAACCTAACCCGACGGTTCCCACTCTCTCATGTCGTGCTCGTTGTTTCCCGCCCCTGTGTCGCGGCAACGAAAAAACCACAACGCCTGATGCCTCGCAGAACACGTACGATGCCAAGTACGCGCCGAAATGAGAGAGCAACTCAGACGACGGGTACGTGTGGTTTGACCGACCCAGGCATACACTCAACGAGAACTTGAGAGGGTTCTGTTGGCACATCCTCGTTGACGAAAGGAGAGGCGGAAGAAGAGTTTTTGGCTTTCCTTGGTTTTGTTTGCCGGACGCCTGGGCGAGGCTCGGTTTTTGTTGTTTTGGCGCTTGTAGCATACACGAGTTTTGTGCCGGAGGCGCGCGCGCTCGCGGCAACTAGGCCATGCTGTACGCAGGCAAAATCGGGGTGAGGGCGTCCCTTAATTTGATGCCGCCCCCGCTCTTAGGAAAAATGCCAACAGACCTGGCCATAGCAAAATGGGACCCCCCCCCCCCTGGCACACAGTAACAGTGGTGGGTTTTTGAGACCGTTGTCGTTCCTGCTAGCGCAGTTGCATATTCTAGAGTGAGAAGGGTTTTATGCTGCTTATCGCCAAGACGTGCGCGTGCGAACGGTCTACTGCGCTATAATTTTGTCGCGGATTCCAAAACGCGATACTCTGGTGGTTGTATAGGATAGGAGACGCTTTTGCGCCTTTCAAGGCTGAGGTGCAGGGGGTGGGGGTGGGTACAATGATGCCGGCTTCTCCTCGGCAAGTAGGGTATTTTTGTACTTTTGTGTGGAACAGCCATGCCGGCGGGGGGAAGGGGGGGTGTAATTGCCTGACGATTTTGGGAGAGTAAACAAGACACAGAAAATATGAGGTTTTACTGTTTGATTGTACGCACGCGTCTATGCATACACCCGGCCGAAATTCGTGTGGGACGGGATGTTTCGGGACGGATGTGGTTCGATGGACGGGGTTTTCGTTGATGACTGTGTCATCATTTCGTCCCTTGTCTGCGTCTGCCGATTCTCGCATAACCAGAATTGACAACTCACGCCTTCCCCTGTCCAAGCAGGGCACAAACAGCCTATCGTGCCTCCCTCTTGTGCAATCGAGGATGGTGTGATGCATCACAAAACTACTCGGCATGGAACAAACGTGTTAGGAGCGACCGATAGGACAAGCTTTGTAACCGCTGCATTCCACCCCCATGACCCTGGAGCTTTTGCTAGGATGATGCTCGCGTGTGCAACAGCCTGTGCTCGTGCCGGGCTCGACAGGCGCGAGAAAAAAGAAAACCGCCCGAGAGTTTGTTCGTGACATATTTTTCCCGGACCATCATAACTAGAAGATGAGGACAAGCCTCCTTATTCGTTGTCTCTAGTGGGCAAGATCTTCACCTTCAAAGTAACGGCCGAATGAATTTCCGTCAGAGTGGTCAAGCAGTGTTGTGTTGAGTGACAGTTTGCGCGAAACTGTTGTCGAGAACGAGAAAATGGCGGATGTAAAACCGAATCACGCCATCTTGAGCGGTATCCGGCCGCCGCCGCATTGCCTTGCGTCACTTTAACGTACTGCAATGCCCGATAAGGCCAACAGACCTGGTGATACCACCTCACGTGACAAGTCGCCCACCAGTTGCCGATTTTTGTATTTTTTTTTATGATCCTGGGACAGTTCTGAAGAACCTTCCATCCTAAGAAATACTCCGTAGTAACTACTTTTCTCCGGGCGCCTGCTACGCGCGGTTGCCACCCACGTCCACACAGAGGTGTCACGAATTTGCCATGTTCACGCCACGATCAGCCGCAACCGACAGACGCATCGACCTTTTAACACAGGGACAGAACCATGGGGGTGCGCGCTCCCCTCCCCTACTCGATCCTTTCCATCCCCCGAACAATACCGAAGCGCCATCTCTTACGAAGCAGCTCTTTGAGATCACGCCGTCGCAACCACACTATGCATACCTTGCACCCCTACACCCTCAAGTCGTTGAATATCATCTTTCATTATGTTCCACAAGGCACACGCCGCCAGTGCGTACCTCCCCCACCCCCGGCTACAACTTGTTGGCCGGCAGTCAAACAAAGTCGAAAATGAGAAAAGGGCGAAAAAACCGAACCAAACATGCATAACGGTGTGGTATGTTCTTGTTTTGTCGAAGAAGCTCTTGATACATCAGGTCTTTGGCGCCCCCTCTACTCTTCCGACAACGCACTATGCGTGCACTGAACTTTGCTGAAGGGAGGCGTTGAACGGGGGGTGCCCTACACGCGCTTCACACGGTGCCCCGCCCGTGAGGAACCGCCGACAGAGAAAACTTCCCCTCCAGCAGTGAGAAACTTCTTGGAAATTTCCGCATCACGCCTCCGCGGTGGCTGGGGCTTTCGCCGCCGGAGAGCGGGACGCCGACCTCCTGTTGCTGCCGCCGCCGCTCTGTTGTCGGGTTAATACACGCAATGCAAGCGCGCGAGGGTAGATTAGCAATCAAGACTAGAGTTGTTACCCTCGACCCAAGAGGTGTGAGAGATCTACGAAAGTGATCCATTGAACCCCACAGTAGCATTGAATTTCTCAGCTGACAGTACTGGCTGGCAGCCTTCTTTCCCACCGCAGCCACATCTCCAGTAACTCGTGGCGAATACCCTGAGCTACGTGGCTCAATACCACTGGACGAACACGCCACTCACTGCTGTGTGATAGGGAGAAAATCAGCAACGCCGTTGCTAAATGCGGCGTTCCAGTGCAAGACAAAAACATAATTACTTGCCCTTCAATAACGCTTCACCGTTTCTTGTACACAAGGTGGTGAGCAAATCACCAACATGGACGGGATCACGACTAAGCAGACGTTGGCAGACATTTCTGTCTCCCACCCCTCCCTCCGCCGAACCCTGCAAACAATTACACACAAAACTGGCACATACGTACCTCGTTCACACGTACAGCTTCAAAACACCTGGAACCCTCCCTGCTGTGAGGGCAAGCCCTTCAAAATGGACGCCGAGTCCAATTCCCTCGTTTCAAACACGACCCAACAGCCAACAGCAAAACAACAGATAGAACAAACACGCCGCATACTTTGTCACGCACCTTGCTCGACGAGGAGCTCGACTTGGACGCGGAGCTCCTGCTGCGGCTCCTACCGCTGCCGCTGCCGCTGCCGCTGCCGCTGCCGCTGCCGCTGCCGGAGCTGGAGGATGAGGACGACCGGCCCCCACGGCGCCTGTTCCTGCTGCGGCTGCGGGACCGGCTCCTGCTGCGCGACCTGAGGTACAATAGCATGTATTATGTATAAGCGATAGGATCGTCAACTGTCTGGGAAATCGGTGTAAGGTCGCTTCCAACTGGTCGTCTCCTTCGTGTTATGTACCGTGGGGGGACCTGTTTAGTTTAGTGCCGATATGTGCCAAGAAAATTAACCGGCACTATACCGGACCGGGGCTAATCAACCGGCACTAAACAGCCACCTACTGTATTGTTCTTGTCGTCTTCCCATTAAAAAACGTTCCGATCTCTCTACCCAGTACCTCCATCTGTCCGTACTGATCGAACACTCGATTCCCGTGGTCACAGGCTAACTTACCCTACAAAGGTATATACTCAAACAAAATGGGCCCGAAGCTATGCTCGTGGTTCCCCCCCAACGCTTCTCTCTCTCTGTCCTTCCCGTATTCCATGCTTTGCTTAGTATCGGCAGTTTTGCAAGAACGACGCCGCATGCACAGCAACATACAGCGCGCTTGACATGGTGGTGCCTTATATTCCCATACCTGCGCCTGTTTCCGAACGACCTCCTCCTGGGCGAGGGAGACCGACGACGGCGCACAGGGCTGCGGCTCCTGCAAAAACGAAATCGTGCCGCAACAAACAGCCGGGGGGGAGAGGGGCGATCGGCACCTGCATGATTTTTTGCTGTGGTGTTGCTCACGGCAGTATACCACATAGCAACTATCGTTGTAGCACAACCGTGGTTTTGTCGCTCTTGTGAGTTTCGGCGTGTATCTTCGTACATGCCGCAAGAAACGGTCCTCTTCGTTCCTAACTGACTGCTAATTTACCACAGGCACACACCAAGCCCCGCCGCTTGATGCTGTGAGCCACGAGATCCTTGCGGTCGCTACCCCCCATCAGTGCTGCTACGCGTTTGGGGTGTATGCCCATCGACACCCTCACCATCTCTCTTGTCTCTCATCCTTTCGTGCCCCATGGACGCCCCCCCTGCAAACTACCTGCACAACCCATCGAAAACTAAATAGTTGGTACGTCGTGTCGGGCGAACTCCATTGGTTCGACGACCCCGTCCCCTTTTGCCCGTACGCCCGATAGCCTCCGCGAGGACATCATTACGCTTGGTTTAAGTTGTAGGGGTTACGGGTGTGGTTTGGGATTAGGGCTAGGGGTACAGAACGGGCCCGAAGAGCAAAAAACGCAAAAACAGGGTCGAGGCTCAGTTTCTTATTTGGTCTACATACCACGGGTTGCTATACAGAGTTTTGTCTAGGATCCACCGCTGAGGTGTCTCTCTTATCCCTATTTTTTCTGTATTTTTGCGAAAACCTGAGCCTCTGTTTTTATACGAAATACTTCTCAACTACGGGCCGGTTCCGTACGAACCCCCCCCTCTCCATTTCACGTAGGTATGGTAACATGGTAACGCCTAACATCCTCCCAAAAGGCGGTCCAATACGCCTCATGGTGGAAACCTCGCCCTTACCTCCTGTCGGAGCGGCGGTTGCGGGGGGGGGAGGATCTCCTCCGAGGGGGGCTCCGTGCCCTGTCGGCATACGAGGTAGACCCGCCGAATCCCCCACTCCCCCTCCGGTCGCCACGGGGCGGCGATCTGCAAAAAAATTGAAACAAAGGATACATACACCACACACCCATCGTGAGGCAAGAAACATGTTTTTTTAACACACTAAAAAAGCGGGGGTTCACATGCAATGCGGCTGGGAAAATGTGAATGCTCTACTGCTGTACGATCACGCTCGTGTTTAGTACGTCATTTGTATCGCGGATACACGAGCACCCGGCTAGCGAACGAGAATCCTCTGCCGCGGCGAAAGCCTTAGGCACACAAGTACGCACCGGTCCCTCCCGCGGAAGCCAGCCCCCGCGGCCATGGCGCCGTAGCCTCCACCGCCGCCGGATCCGCCGCCGCCCCCGGCGGGCCCGTAGTGTCCTCCGCCGCCTCCACCGCCTCCCTGGCCGCTGAAGCTCCCGCTGCCATTGCCGAAGCTTCCGCGCGCCTGTCCGGCGAAGCGGCCGCGGCCGGCACGTTCACGCTCGCGCTCGCGCTCACGCCCTAGAGAGAGGGGGAGTAAGGGCGGGGGTTGTCGTTTCATCGCTAAGCTTACGCCATCGACAAATTCCGGAGAGGGGTCCCGCCCCGTTGCGAATTAGGCTCCGAGCATACTTATAAGGGTTATCTCTTTTGACAATACTGCGCACCGTCCGTGACAAGGTATTCTCATGCAGATTAACCAAAAGCAGACATACGAAAACTCAAGAGAGGTCGTAAGATGTTTCACATTAAAGACGAAAACACAAACAGCACCTACGTTCAGATTTGAACAACAAGCAGATGTACGAAAAACTAAGAGAGGTCGTAAGATGTTGCACGTTTAAGACGACAACATAAACAGCACCTACGTTCAGATTTGAACAACAAGCAGATATTTCAAAAACTAAGACAAAGAGAGAGAGAGGGCGGAAGACACTCCACGTTTTAAGACAACACCACAAACAGCACTCATGTAGCATAAACAGCACTTACGTTCAGCTTCCCTCGACCTGGGCGAGGGCGACTGCCTGCGCTTCTTGGTCACCAGCACGAAGGCCACCTTGATCCTGTTGCCGTCCAGCTGAAGGGGGAATGGCCAACACCCACAAAAACGCCGATCAAAACACGCGGACAACGCAGGGAGGAAGCGTTGTGTTGACTGAACACTTATCCCGAGAACGTAACACTCGCATCGAGAAATACTTCGAAATCGTCAAGTTCGGGTGCTGGCATGGGGGGTGGCTTTGCTGCTGGCTGGCGCGTCTGGGACACCAGCAGCCAGGTGTTTGTTTTTCGCGCCAAGCGAGAAGCGTGATCCGCGGAGCTGAAAGTATCCTTGATGGTACACACGCCACGGGTAGCCTACAAAGCACGAAAACTCAGTACCGGCGTCTACAGAGCGAACGACGGCGCACCGCGATGCCGAACGGCCCTTGGCCTACGCTGCCGGTACCGCAAACACGTCGTACCTCAGCCGCTTCCGCGCCTTGCATTCACATCGCTTCGAATACACCAACTCCAGCAGGCAAGGTTCACGTCCCAACCCAGACGATAATGTTCTTCTTATCCATCGTAGCCCCAAGCCGGCTTCGAGCGTTGAGCCGACAAATACCGTAGGTGACATGATGTAAAATATCACACCCCCTTGGACGCATTTTCAAAGCTCGATTTCTCCACAGCAGAAAGGAGTAGCGTGTGCCGAAAAACGGCGGCATTGGAGCCGTCCAGTCGAGAGCTCTCAGAACACCCATCGTTTCAATAATATGTTTTCTCTTCAACGTGGAGCAGTCCAGCTCTGAAAAACGGTCCAGGGGGTGTGGTATCTTGCGTCATGTCACCTACACGGTACAGCATGCGCATCAATCCATCCATGCAGAACAAGGCGGACGCCAGGACCCTCTCACCTGCCCTCCGTCCAGGTAAAGCTGCGCCTGCTCCGCCTCTGCCCTCTCCACGAACTCCACGAAGGCATAGCCCTGTCCAGCCGAACCGTCAGCGTCACCAAGGTGGGGGGGGGGGGGGGGG